ATACACGGGTTTGATTTCGTCCGAATTAGCCCGATCGGAAATGTCGGAGGGTGATTTTCAAGGCAAAGACCCCATATGTCAACTGCTCATTGCATAATTTTTATCTTATCGTTATCAGTTATCAATATACTGTACCCCATTTTAGTCACGCTTCCGCCTTTTGTTCTTGCGATGCAAGGGTAGATATGCACCGTGATACAGGTGCACAAAATTATAAAAACACATATATATTTATAAACTTGATAGCTTACCTAAGAATATTAGTTAATAAATATTCTTTGCTTATGACCAAACAATATAAACAAAAAAAAAAATAAAAATTTGAAATGAATCAAGTAGATTTATCATCTTTCTAAGAATAGTCACGTTGCTACATATCTTCTTTTTTTGAAATTATGTATAAACGGCTTCTAAGTTTGCCTCAAAATTTGACCTATTTCTTATGAATATAATAAATTTGAAATTTCGCTTATTTTCCTGACTATTTGTTACTACAATTTTTTATTACTAAAGTTTGAAAATTGTGGTATATGCGCATACATTTTTACTTCGCCAATTACTATAGTAATAATTTATTTTTAAGTATTGTTATAAATTTTTTGCTCGCATTCTTGAATTAATTCGCAAAAATGAATTGATGGTCTTCTGATTATTGCTTTTCTATTTTTAGAGCGTTATATCATAATATCATCGAAGAATTGATTTTTATTTAAATCAAAATATCATTAATTTATTAATTTGACATGGGATAAGAACCATACAGTATATAAATAAAAACCAAGATTTTAATTAAAATCAATAATAATCTTAAAATTATTTAGAAAATGCCAGAAGGGATTTTCTTAGTTTATTTCCATTTAGTGCCATTATCCCGACACATATCGATTCCCCATTTTTTAACGTACGTACTTACGTACGTGAGTATTTGCACTCGCCCAACCTTAACTCTCACAAAGACACTAAGCACATAAATTATCTTACGTAAGATCAATTTCCATTTGTAGGTGAAGTGAATGATGATTACGTATTGCCGTTACTCTATTATTAAACTATAAATCTTATAATAATGACTAAACTTGATTAAGCCATAGATCGTTACACGTAATATAAACGTTAAGGAAATAATGCATATCCATGTGCCGTTTAATTTCAGGTATAACCTCAAAAAGTATTGTTTGAGCGACATAATAATGACGCGGAGATAAATGGAATTTTAGCTGCAGAAATTAATCATACTATTTTTGAAACACTATACATAAGTACAGTACGTAAGTACGTACATAGGTTTATGTAAAATTTTGATTATGTACATACAAAAAGAAGAGGATATTAGTATATAAAAAACCTAACGTTGGGTTGAAGTTACTCATTTTACCGAAACATAACTACGTCAAAAAATTTTATATAATCATTCTCTAAATTATAGCATGTATGAACAAAATTTTAATTGTCTTAATATAGTAAATTACCATTGAGCAATCTTCTCATGGCTCATTGACCTATTTTCTCCTCAACAGTTTTGTCATTCATTTCTAATCTATATGTCTCTACCTTTGACCTACAATGGTGATGATACCAAAAATGAGGAATCTGCCATTATCTACAATTTCGACTGGTCAATGACTTCCCTTGGCCCTATAGACTCATGGGAGCCCATGATAAAAAACGCTTTGGTAATTTGTAGTTGTATTGTTTTTTAAAAAAATAAAATAAAATAAAAATAAGCCTGATGTTTTAACAAAATTTATAAAAAATCGCGTGTTAATGTTAGAATTTGTGCCTCCAATCTACATTTCCCATCTGTCTTTATCTCGGCCCTGATTATATCACAATATATAATAAAGGTAAATAATTTTTATAATTCACTTTTGTTTATCTATTTAGTTAATTTTAAAGAACTAATTCTGTTCTCTTGTATAGCTTTTCAACGACAAATATTGTTGAAAGACAAATACGGTTAATTATTTCATTTCATATAACATATTTATAATAAACTTAATAAACTTTGCCAACTTAACATTCTTTTAATGATAAATAGACATAGGAAAATCAGCTAAAGAAGACTTAACTGATTATTTTATTTCACAACTTGAAACGTAGGTTGAGTACTAATTGCGATAGCTGAAGCTAAAATTTGTACCTACTTTAAGATTAAAATTTAAAACGGCTGTATTTTGGTTAATATTTAGTTTATAATTGTTAATAAAAGAGTATAAGTGGGGTTTGATAAGTTTATATATTTAAATAGAGACCTCCAAACTTTTGGCTTTAGTTGTCACGATAATTTAAAGAGATTTCATTCTAATATCTGAACTTTTCTTAAATGTGTAGTGTGAAGACAAAAGGAGAAGGCTTCTTTGTAAAAGAACACTACATTGAAAGAACACGCAATGGATATAAAGAAGAAGCGTACTTTAACTATACATTTAGTCCTATTTTTAAATCAGATGGCTCAGTCTACTGTATATTTAATCTGGTACAAGATGTCACTCAAAAGGTTTTGAGTACTCGAAGATTTAAAACAATTAGCGAGTTTGGATGTTGGACTTCTGGTTAGTACTAAAAAATTCAATATTGAGTTACTGTAAGATTATTGCGGACTTTATCTGTTAACGTGGTTGCATTTACACAATGATTCGGAAGAAATTAAGTCATTAAGCAGTGCCTGCAAGATTATAACAAAAGTATTAAGCGATAACAATGCAGATATTTCTTATGTATTAATTTATTTTATCAAACATAAATTAAATACTGGTTATGAACCTTTGATTGCTCAACTGGCTGCTACGACCTTTGATAGAGATAGTAAAAAAGAAAGACATTTTCCTGATTATTTTCCAGAAACCCCCGAAATAATTGACTTATCCAAGGAAATTGATAAGAGTCACGGAACATACATAGAAATAAAACGAGAAAAAACAACATATTCTTTTTTAAAATGTCAATCTTGGCCAATACACCTTCTAATAAAGGAAGATCGCCATGTAAAAGTTATTTTAAAAGACGACTCTCAGGCGGTACTCTTATCAACACAAATTCTAATTGGCGATGGGGAAACTTTATCAGCTGTATTGATTTGTGGTGTTAATCGGTTGTGCCCACTTGATGAACAATATATGGAATTTTTACAAGTATGTGAAAGCTATCTTTATTAATTCCAAAATTTAATTTCATAACACTTGTTAGAGAACTTTTGAATTGAATACATTATAATCTGTCAGTTGGTCGTAAATCAGATGAATACATTTTTGGTACACGGGAATTCAATAGAAGAAGAAAAGAAGCGGTCTAAGATATTAGTCAATTTAAACTACCAAAAGATCATGTTTTTTCAAGGCATTAGTCACAAATTAAAAAGTATTTATAAGTTATAAATTTTTTTTAAAAAAATAAAATATACTATTCAAATAAATTAACCCTTTATTTGTTTATTTATTTATTTATTATCATGCAAGCTCCATTAACCTTAATGCTTTCACCACTCGAAGATGTAATTATTGTAAGTCCACGAGAATCACAAATAATGTCTAATCTTCAAACTATACGGCGTAACGCCCGTCGATTGCTTAAACTTATCAATGTTTCGTTACAAGTAAGTCATATATAAACTTTAGTTCCCTAAATTATTCTATTAATGAGATTCAATTCTTGTGCAGTTTTCAAATATAGAGGCTAATCAATTTGAAGCGCATTATATTGAAACTGATATAGTTGAATTTACTCAAGTGTTAGTTTCAGACTTTAAAAATATGGCCAAAACATTAGGTTTAGATTTCATTATCGATATTCCACATTCAAATGGATTTAATAACGCCATGGGTGATAAAATTTACCTAGATCACGACATGTATGAAACAATTATATTTAACCTTTGTAAGCATTTTCTAAAAAATTTGTGCCAAAAAATTTTTTCATAAGTCCATTCGTTGAAATGTGCAGAGTTGGTATTAAGATATTTTACTTGATATAGGTTCGAATGCACTAAAGCACACTTGGAATGGTCATATCACTATTCGCTTATATCTTGACTATAGAGATAAGAAAAAGATGATAGTTCTCGAAATATCAGATACAGGTTATTAATATTACTTATTGCTCTGTTTAAAAATTATAACCTCTATAAATATACTATGTATATTACATAATTAACCATAATTCGGATTAATTGTACTGTATCAATTCAGGAGTTGGTATACCAGAAGATGCCCTTCCAAATATATTCCAGCGCTTTTATCGTGTAGAATCCCAAAATTCTCGTAGTCACGAAGGGACCGGAATAGGACTTGCACTTGTTAAAGAACTTGTTACACGTCATGGAGGAGATATCACTGTAACTTCTGTCGTAAATAAAGGAACGAAGTTTAAATGTTGGTTCCCAATTGGATGTTATCACCTACCAATAAATCAAATACGCTTTAATAACGTTGAAAAGCCAATAAATAATGGTCAGGAATTATGCACTAACCGACAGCTTTATTTAGAAGAATGTTCTCAATGGGCAAAGAACAGTACATCTGAAGCCCAATATGATATGGATCAATTGTCAATTGGTGATGATTGGAGTGTTGATAAAACTTTCACAAAAGAGATTGCATCTCTTTCCTCCGCGGATAATCTTGGTACTGGAAAGAAACATCAAATATTACTCGTTGATGATAATAATGACATGCGGTAATAATTTCTTTATTCGATTAAATAAATGTTTAAATAAATGTTTATAAATTATTTCTCATTATTATACGTTTTATAGAAACCATTTATCGGTTCTTTTAAAAGAATTTGATATCATTCATGCTCATGATGGTAGAGATGTCATAGAGATATTAGAAAAGGTCGACAAATTACCTGATTTAATTCTCAGTGGTAAGCAATTATACAGTCGCGAAATTTTAATTTTGATATATAATTCAAAATAATTATTGATATTATATCTGGTATAATTGTATAATTTACAGATGTCATGTTGCCAAATATGAATGGATACGAGCTATTGGATGTGTTAAGATCTAATATAAAAACTCAACTGATTCCTGTAATATTATTATCTGCAAAAGCTGATGAAGATTCTAAAATTAAAGGTAATTTTAAAACTAAAGATTATCAATAAACTATTTTCTTTATCGGTTTTTAACGAATTTACTTTTAGGTCTGGATAAAGGAGCAGATGACTATTTAATAAAACCATTTTCCGCACAAGAGCTAATTACTCGTATTCGTGCTAATATTGAACTCTCACTTCTTCGTTGTAAAATAATATTACGGCAATGTAAACAAGAAGAAATAAATCAATTATTACTTTCAATATCGACTAAATTTTTTTCTGGATTAAGTATAGAGGAAACATTACAATTTATTGCTGAAGAAATCCACCATAGATTGTCATGTGAAAGAATCCTAATTATTTCAAATGAACAAGATGAATTTAAAAATAACAAAATACTTGCTTTATATGAAGACTCGGTAAATCCACTCATGGAAATTAGCGATACCGATAGGTGTGAATCACAAATTTTCACTAAATCACAAGAACTTTTAAATAATAATTCAGGAATAGATGTTTCTTTGGATGTGTACTGCGATGGTATTTGTAAAAATGTATCCGTCTTATCTGCAGAAATAAGGTTAACTAATGGCTTTTGGGGATGGATAAAAGTATATAGACCTCCAAATTCTATTTGGCTCGATTCAGAAATAGAATTTTTGCAACAAATATCGAATCAAATAAGCCTAGCAGTTACATATAAAAGCTTATCAGAAGAGAATATTGCGAAAGAAATTCAGATAAAAGCTGCTGAACTTGCAAATAATGCAAAGAGTCAAATATTAGCGAATACTACACATGGTAATTTGTTTTTATTGCCTACATTGCACCTAAAATTTTTATTATGCTAATAAATCTTAATTTCATAGAATTACGAACACCGTTAGGAGCGATAGTAGGAGTACTTTCTTCCTTCGAGAGTGCTAATTTATCTACAGATCAGAGGGACATGATTAATGTCATGGCATGTGCCTCTGATGTTACGTTATCTGTAGTTAATAATATTCTTGATGCAGCAAAATTAGAAGCACAAAAGATTGCTCTAGTAAACATAGCATTTGATTTGTTAGAATTATTTGATGACACGATTGAAATATTTGGAGAAAGAGCCGGATCCAAAAAAATCGAACTAATTATAAATTATGACGTAGATAAATTACCGAGATATGTTAAGAGTGATCCTGAGAGGTGATTAAACTTATATGATCTTTAAAGAAAAAAAAGGGGGAATTCGTCACTTATCTCTTGCATATTTATTAGGCTGAAACAAGTTTTATTAGAATTATTATCAAATTCGTAATTATATTTATATATTATTTTTTTTTGTTTATTTTCATAACCTACTTAATTCATAATAATTCATTCTAATTTATTAGTATTAAATTTACTGATAAAGGTGAAATAATACTGACAATTTCATCAATGTTATCGCAAGAAGTCGTTGATGAAAAAAATACGAATCTGGATCACAGTCAAATGCCAAAAAATGATGTTCTGCTAATTGAATTATGTGACTCCGGTATTGGGTAAGCTACTTATGATTTTATGCATTATATTTTAGAATGTATCAACTAATAGTTTATTTAATAATAATAATAGCATGGATCCTGAATATATACAACATGCTTGGAAAAGCTTTTCACAAGGTGATATGTCGATAACTAGGAAGCAAGATGGTACAGGACTTGGTCTCTCAATTTGTAAAAGTCTAATAGAAATTAATGGAGGTGAAATTAATGCAGAAAGTCAACTGGGAGAAGGAAGTAAATTTTGGTTTACATGGAATATCGAACTATTACCATCAACGACGCTTTCACAATTTAAAACTCCATTATTAAATATACAATTTGATAAACAATTAAATTATAATATATTACCCCATGCTATAAAGCAAAAACGGATTTTAATAATTCATCCAGTTGAAAGTGTGAGAAATTCAATGTTAAAATATCTTAAAATGGTTGAGAAAGTTGATACATTTGATACCTTTGACATAGCTATTAGAGCAGCAAAAACATATAAAGAATCGCATGATCAGTCTGCTTATGATATAGCATTTATTAGCCTTTATGAAAATAATGAGGAAGAAGTTATGAAAGTAGCATCAGAGTTAAGAAGATTAGAAATGAATAGTAATAATTTAGTAATAATATTTATAGTATTTCCAGGTAATGAAGGAAATGAATTAGCAAAAAAATTAGTTGAAAAAGTTGAGGGACCAACTTCTGTTATTTATACTCCAATTACACGGAAAAAATTAATTAAACAATTTATTCATATGAGAAAAAATGATGCTACTTACAAAAATAATACGAGTATGCACATCAATGAAAACAGAAGTGCGAATATTCTAAAGCGAGTGGGAGATCGTGGATTTCATAAGATTGGAAATGAGAATCAAAATATATATGAAGATACAACTGGAAGAGATTTTAAGAGAAAGTGTATTCCTGGAAAAGATTTTAACAGAAAGTGTATTTTATGTGTGGTATGTCTTTTTTCCTATTTTGATCAAA